TGTGTGTGTGTGTGTGTGTGTGTGTGTGTGGTGGGTGTTGTGTGTGTGTGTGTGGTGTGATTGTGTGGTGGCGATGTTGTGTGTGTGTGTGGTGTCCTTTTTGTGATGGTGTGAGTGTGTGGTGTTCTTACGTTGTGGTTGGTAGGATCTATCAGCCTTGCCCCGTTGTGTGCGCCTTACTAATCTGGCATATATAATGGTACTAGGTCTCCCTCTCAATCTGTGGTGCAGTGTGCTGAGTGAGTCAGTCAGTCAGTGGGCAGTTGGAACTACCTCTACCACTGTAACTACATTCTGCATCTATATGTCCAGTTCCTCAGTGTGCCCAGTCACCACACTCAGTGTGTTATCAGTTTTGCATAGTGTGCTTTCCGTCTCTTCTGCATCGTATCGTCCTGGTTGATGCTCGCCCTGTGTGTGTTATTACAATGCATGGTGCTGAAGTGACGTCTGTGGTATTTATGCTCTCACCGTGTGTACTTTTGCATGCTCCGTATTTATGTTGATGCTGGCGCTGTGTATATATTTATGCTCTTCAAGTATATTTAGTTCGCTTCGTGTGTATTTAAGCTCTCTCCGTGAGTATTTGTGTGTGTGTGTGTGTGTGTGTGTGTGTGTGTGTGTGTGTGTGTGTGTGTGTGTGTGTGTGTGTGCATGCGTGCGTGCGTGCACTCGTGCTGTGTGTGTTTATTCTGGCTCCGTGTATATGCTCGTACTCCCGTACTTGTGATCTGGCTGCTGTTATTTTCTAAAAGTGAGTTAGTGTGTTGTAATTTGTGTGTAATTATTATTGTAGTATCATCGTCGTTTTGAAAGAGATAGTATAATATAATATCTTTATTTACTACACGTACATGTACAAGGTATACAGATCTAGCTGACATGAATGACATACAACTATGTAGAAAGCCGCTTGTTATGCAGAGCATTTTGTTTTGTCCCGGGATGCGACCCACACCAGTCGAATAACACCCGGGTGCCTATTTTATTCTAAAGGGTGAACATGGACAACAGGATTATTAATGAAACACGATCTAATGTTATCCAGCCGTACCGGGGATTCGATCTCCGGACCTGTGTGTGTGAGCTGATTGCGCTAGCGATTGAGCTACGGGAATTACATATAAAGTTAGAAATTGACGCCGTAATAAAGTACGTCTTAAGATCCAGAAAACTCACGACCAAGTAGATAAGTTTATATTGAATTTAAGTAGATATTTGTAAGAGTTAGCAGTCGTCTTTCATATTTATAAAACATGAAGAACAGGCCAGCAATCCTACAAGATATTTTTGTTCACCCCAGAGAATGATCTCTGTACTGTCACTGCTCCTGTTATTTATTTACCATACATTGCACTAGTCATGTGGTACCCTATGTATGGTGGGGGTTTCGTTGTCTTGGTCTTGTTGAACACGCTTCCAGTGCATAGGATATCCACATAGCTGTTGGGATGTGCACACAGGCCGGCCACGTGTGCGCGTGCTGGGGAGTCAGGTGGGAATCACGTGCAGACTTGTTTCACTCTTGTGCTGATGCATACGGATGGGGAGGGGATGCGTGTGCGAACGCGCGCCTGCGTGTGACATCACTATTTTTGTTGTGGTCGGTTTGCATAAATATCTTTTCTTTACGTCGGTGAAAAATAATAAATATTCTTAAGAGCAACTTAATAACTTCTGATACTTCTTTCCTTCCCAAGCACCAGACGAGCCTGGCCCAAGGCCGGGCTCTGGGAGTAGAAAAACTCGAGAGCTCATTGAACGTTTATCATTTTCTTTATCGCATCACCTGGGTTTACTGTGTTTACCTTTGATATATACCTTTGAAGAATTTCGAGAGTATATCTACTCTCTGAGCCCGGCCATGGGCCAGGCTCGTCTGGTGCTCGCCTGGTCAACCAGGCTGTTGCTGCTGGAGGCCCGCTGCCCCACATATCCTTCACAGCCTGGTTGATCTGGCACCTGGTAAAGATACTTGTCTAGTTTCCTCTTGAAGGCTTCAACACTTGTTCCAGCAGTGTTTCTGATATCTTCTGGTAAGATGTTGAAAAGTCTGGGACCCCGGATGTTGATACAGTGTTCCCTTATTGTGCCCACCACACCCCTGCTCCTCACTGGGTTTGTTTTACACTTCCTCCCATATCTCTCACTCCACTATGTTGTTATGGCAGTGTGCAGATTTGGGACCAGGCCCTCGAGTACCTTCCAGGTATATGTTATCATGTACCTCTCTCTCCTCCGCTCGAGTACCTTCCAGGTATATGTTATCATGTACCTCTCTCTTCTCCGCTCGAGTACCTTCCAGGTATATGTTATCATGTACCTCTCTCTTCTCCGCTCGAGTACCTTCCAGGTATATGTTATCATGTACCTCTCTCTCCTCCGCTCGAGTACCTTCCAGGTATATGTTATCATGTACCTCTCTCTCCTCCGCTCGAGTACCTTCCAGGTATATGTTATCATGTACGTCTCTCTTCTCCGCTCGAGTACCTTCCAGGTATATGTTATCATGTACGTCTCTCTTCTCCGCTCGAGTACCTTCCAGGTATATATTATCATGTACCTCTCTCTCCTCCGCTCGAGTACCTTCCAGATATATATTATCATGTACCTCTCTCTCCTCCGCTCCTATGATGTTTTTATAGGCAGACAATTTTTCTCAGTCCCTAGATCATCTCTTAACGGTTGCCTTCTCTGGTTCCTGTTGTACACTGTGTGCCTAGTCTTCATCTGCTCTGTATATCAATCATCTGCTCCATCGCGTCCTCCTTTCCATCTCCCATTAATAAAGAAACTCCGCCAAGTACCAGATCAACCAGGCTGTGATGGATATGTGGGTCAGCGGGCCTCCAGCAGCAACAGCCTGGTTGACCAGGCAAGCCTGGCCTAGGGAACGCTCCGGGAATAGAAAAACTCTCGAAACTCATCAAAGGTATATCAGAGGTATAAAGGTATGTCTCAGCTGTTTTTGTGTCAGACAACGAGGGCAGCTTTTAGTCTTTTCAATGTTTATAATTCAGATTTCTTCGCTCTGACTCATTTGTTTTGTAATATAGCTTGGAACTGTTGGCATGTTTGTTTAGGTACAAACACTGTACCAGTACTGCATATTATAATGTTAATGTAATGTATGTTATGAACAGCTTCTTCAGTATTTGAACAAACATATAACTTAAGGCTAGCGTGAAGTGTACTAAACCTGAAACTCTTACACAAGTTATCTCCTTGTCTGGTGATATTTTTATTTTAGGTATTTCTTCATTTTCATGACTCACGAAATCGTAATGACACGATTGCAAACAAACCATACCCCGGCCGGGATTGTACCCGCTGTCAGAGAGTCTCAAAACTCCAGCCCTAACGCGACGGGCTGGAGTTTTGAGACTCTCTGACCGCGGGTTCAATCCCGGCCGGGGTATGGTTTCTTCATCTCTCCCATCCCCACCTCCTTTGATTTTTATCGCATAATTTGTATGGCACTTCTGGTACGAGTATTGCGCTCTTGTATGGCTTGTGTTTTGGTGGTGCAGCTCTAAACCAGCGTGGGTCATTCAGAGCCTGGAGTGGTGGAGGCACTGATCCAACACTGAAGTGTGAAACAAACATGTTAACCTGACTGCACTCACCTCACTCTCTGCTATAATTATTATTATTAATCAAAAGCTGAATCCGTGTGGATCTAATACTTAAAGTATGTAATATAAAAGTATGATGTTCTGGTGAGTATAGTGTTGGGTGAGTGTGAGTATAGTGTTGGGTGAGTGTGGGTATAGTGTTGGGTGAGTGTGGGTATAGTGTTTGGTGAGTGTGAGTATAGTGTTTGGTGAGTGTGAGTATAGTGTTTGGTGAGTGTGAGTATAGTGTTGGGTGAGTGTGAGTATAGTGTTTGGTGAGTGTGAGTATAGTGTTTGGTGAGTGTGGGTATAGTGTTGAGTGAGTGTGGGTATAGTGTTTGTGAGTGTGAGTATAGTGTTGAGTGTGGGACAGTGTTGGGTGAGTGTGGTATAGTGTTGGGTGAGTGTGGGTATAGTGTTGGGTGAGTGTGGGTATAGTGTTGGGTGAGTGTGGTATAGTGTTGGGTGAGTGTAGGTATAGTGTTGGGTGAGTTGGGTATAGTGTTGGGTGAGTGTGGGTATAGTGTTGGGTGAGTGTGGGTATAGTGTTGGGTGAGTGTGGGTACAGTGTTGGGTGAGTGTGGGTATAGTGTTGGGTGAGTGTGGGTACAGTGTTGGTGAGTGTGAGTATAGTGTTGGGTGATGTGAGTATATGTTGGGTGAGTGTGGGTACAGTGTTGGGTGAGTGTGAGTATAGTGTTGGGTGAGTGTGGGTACAGTGTTGGGTGAGTGTGAGTTAATAGTGTTGGGTGAGTGTGGGTACAGTGTTGGTTGAGTGTGAGTATAGTGTTGGGTGAGTGGGGTACAGTGTTAGTGAGTGTGGGTATAGTGTTGGGTGAGTGTGGGTACAGTGTTGGGTGAGTGTGAGTATAGTGTTGGGTGAGTGTGGGTTATATGTTGAGTGTGGGTACAGTTTTTAGGTGAGTGTGGGTATAGTGTTGGGTGAGTGTGAGTACAGTGTTGGGTGAGTGTGTGTATAGTGTTGGGTGAGTGTGGGTATATTGAGTGTGGGTACAGTGTTAGGTGAGTGGGGTATAGTGTTGGGTGAGTGTGGGTACAGTGTTGGGTGAGTATGGGTGTAGTTTGTGTGAATGTGGGATAGTGTTGGGTGAGTGTGGGTACATGTTTGGGTGAGTATGGGTGTATGTTGGTGAGTGTGGGTACAGTTTTTTGGGTGAGTATGGGTGTAGTTTTTGGTGAGTGTGGGTACAGTGGTTGAGTGTGTGTTACAGGGTATAATAAGAGATTATTTTGTTTAGTTTTGTGTTACTTTGTGTGTTTCCCATTGTTTTTCTGTGCATGTATTGTGTGTGCCTCACAGCACATGTTTGCCCGTGCACCGGTCATTGTAACATGTATAGAGGTTCATATGTGCAACTCTTGCAGGTGCGGTCATGGCGGCGTGGTGGGCGGGGTGGGCGGCGCAGGCGGCGGCAGCGTAACGGGTAGCGGGTGGCGCGCCGCCCCGAAATCGGGGGGCGCAGCTTCCGGACCCGGGTCGCCGCCTGCCATGTCCAAAGGCCGCACGCGGGCACCCACCTCAACAGCGGCCAGCGGAGGAGGCACCAGTAGTGCATCCCCCCTCTCCACCACCACCACCACAACCACCATCACCACCACCACGACTACTACAACTCCCTCAACTGCCACCTCCAACATGAATGGAGAGAGGCGCTCTGGCGTGGAAGTAGTGCCACCCTCCAGTCGTCGGCCAGTTCGAACTTCAGCCACCTTCACCTCCAGTATTAAAGGCCTCTTGCAGCAGCGAGAGGACGCTGCTGGAGGCGGCGTGGGTGTGTTCTCCACTCTGCGGCGCTCATTGCCGCGCTCCAGGTCAGCGTCCTCACACGTGGAGGGGCGCGCTACCCAGGAGGAGGCCACTGGAGCCCGCCGTTCTAACCTGCCTCCCTTGAGGACCACTGGGGGTCCCTCGCCGCGTGGGCGACGAACACTGTCTACCATGGGCTCTAAAAGACGATCCGTCATACTTGAGGAGGACAAGGAGGCTCTTAATGGTGAAGAGTCAGCAGTAGCGCCGCCCCCTGTGACCGGCGTCACCGGAGGTCGGCGCCACTCTCCCAGGGCGCGGCGCTCTCACAGTGTGCAAGAGGAACGACAGTCCCCGGCTAGAGATCATGGCATTACTAAACAATATAGTGTAGAAGAACGTGTGTCAAAAACTAATAAATCTTCCCCGGGAGACGAGTCTCCCAGAGCCGATGAAGAGGACGCTGATGGCGTCTCAAAAGAAGGGGAAGAAAGAACACGAGAGGCTGGTACTCTAACAGACAAAGAAAAAGTCGAATGTGAACGTGATGAAAAAGACAAAGATGAACGTGAAGAGGAGGAGCGACGTGCTCCTGTAGAGGAGGAGGAGGCAGAAGAAGCAGTGGACAAGTCGCCAGACGGACGCTTTCTCAAGTTTGACCACGAGATTGGTCGTGGCTCTTTCAAGACGGTGTACCGCGGCCTGGATACCGACACCGGGGTCGACGTCGCTTGGTGCGAGCTCCTGGTGAGTACTGTCTATATTTTCATGTCTTTATTGACTCAAGAAATCGTAATGACACGATTGCAAACAAACCATACCCCCGGCCGGGATTGAACCCGCGGTCATAGAGTCTCAAAACTCCAGCCCGTCGCGTTAGCCACTAGACCAGCTAGCCACAATAAGATTCATCCAACTGGAGTTTTGAGACTCTATGACCGCGGGTTCAATCCCGGCCGGGGGTATGGTATGTCTTTATTGTCCCGTAGCTCGGTTGGTAGCGCACTCAACTCTCACATTAAGGTCTGTGGTTCGATCCTCGGTACGGATGGAGACATTAGGGGCGTGTTTCCTTAAGACACCTGTCCCTGTTCACCTAGCAGTAAGTAGTACTGAGTGCAAGTAGGTACCTGTGTGTTAGCTGACTGGTGTGAGTCACATCCTGGGGACAGAATTGTCTTGAAATGCTCTGCATAACCCGGGGCTTTCTATATAGTATGTTACTGATGTCATCCAGGTTTGTATAAGTTGTGTCATGTACTTGTAGAAGTAAATATTATTATTTAAACTGTATGACCCTTACGGGTTATGATTATAATAATTTCCTGTTATTCAGTTTTACATATTGCCACGTGATTGCAACCGATGGGTGTGCCGTGGCCCGCCAGGGATCATGGCATCACTATGGGTGTGCCGTGGCCCGCCAGGGATCATGGCATAACTATGGGTGTGCCGTGGCCTGCCAGGGATCATGGCATGACTATGGGTGTGCCGTGGCCCGCCAGGGATCATGGCATCACTATGGGTGTGCCGTGGCCCGCCAGGGATCATGGCATCACTATGGGTGTGCCGTGGCCCGCCAGGGATCATGGCATCACTATGGGTGTGCCGTGGCCCGCCCAGGGATCATGGCATCACTATGGGTGTGCCGTGGCCCGCCAGGGAATGGCATCACTATGGGTGTGCCGTGGCCCGCCAGGGATCATGGCATACTATGGGTGTGCCGTGGCCCGCCAGGGATCATGGCATCACTATGGGTGTGCCGTGGCCGCCAGGGATCATGGCATCACTATGGGTGTGTCGTGGGCCCCAGGGATCATGGCATCACTATGGGTGTGCCGTGGCCCGCAAGGGATCATGGCATCACTATGGGTGTGTCGTGGCCCGCCAGGGATCATGGCATCACTATGGGTGTGTCGTGGCCCGCCAGGGATCATGGCATCACTATGGGTGTGCCGTGGCCCGCCAGGGATCATGGCATCACTATGGGTGTGTCGTGGCCCGCCAGGGATCATGGCATCACTATGGGTGTGCCGTGGCCCGCCAGGGATCATGGCATCACTATGTGGTGGGTCGTGGCCCGCCAGGGATCATGGCATCACTATGGGTGTGCCGTGGCCCGCCAGGGATCATGGCATCACTATGGGTGTGTCGTGGCCCGCCAGGGATCATGGCATCACTATGGGTGTGCCGTGGCCGCCAGGGATCATGGCAATCACTATGGGTGTGTCGTGGCCCGCCTGGGATCATGGCATCACTATGGGTGTGCCGTGGCCCGCCAGGGATCATGGCATAACTATGGGTGTGCCGTGGCCCGCCAGGGATCATGGCATCACTATGGGTGTACCGTGGCCCGCCAGGGATCATGGCATAACTATGGGTGTGCCGTGGTCCGCCAGGGATCATGGCATCACTATGGGTGTGCCGTGGCCCGCCAGGGATCATGGCATCACTATGGGTGTGCCGTGGCCCGCCAGGGATCATGGCATCACTATGGGTGTGTCGTGGCCCGCCAGGGATCATGGCATCATTATGGGTGTGCCGTGGCCCGCCAGGGATCATGGCATAACTATGGGTGTGCCGTGGCCCGCCAGGGATCATGGCATAACTATGGGTGTGCCGTGGCCCGCCAGGGATCATGGCATCACTATGGGTGTGCCGTGGCCCACCAGGGATCAACGCATCACTGTGGGGGTGCCGTGGCCCGTCAGGGATCAAGGCATCACTATGGGCGTGCCATGGCCCGCCAGGGATCAAGGCACCACTGTGGGTGTTCCATGGCCCGCCAGGGATCAAGGCATCACTGTGGGTGTGCCGTGGCCCGCCAGGGATCAAGGCATCACTATGGGTGTGCCATGGCCCGCCAGGGATCAAGGCACCACTGTGGGTGTTCCATGGCCCGCCAGGGATCAAGACCATTGGGGTTGCCGTGGCCGAAAAGGACAAGGCCCAGTGGGTGTGCGTGGCCCCAGGTATCAAGGCACCATTGGGTGTCCCGTGGCCCGCCGGGTATCAAGGCACCACTATGGGTGTGCCGGGCCCCCCCAGGTATCAAGGCCCACTTGGGTGTGCCGGGGCCGCAAGGTATCAAGGCCCCACTGTGGGGGCCCGGGCCCCCCAGTATCAAGGCACCACTGTGGGTGTGCCGGGGCCCCAAAAAGGTATCAAGGCACCACTTGGGTTCCGGGGGCCCCAAAGGTATCAAGGCACCACTTGGGTGTCCCGTGGCCCGCCAGGTATAAAAGGCACCCTGTGGGTGTGCCGGGCCCGCCGGTATAAAGGGCACCATTTGGGGGTGTGCCGTGGCCCCGGGTACAAGGACCACTAGGGGTGTGCCGTGGCCCCCGGGTACAAGGCACCACTATGGTGTGCCGGGCCCCCAGTATCAAGGACCACTAGGGGTTGCCTGGCCCCGGGTTAAAGGGCACCATATGGGTGTGCCGGGGCCCACCAGTGATCAATGCCACGGACTGGTCATATGACTGACCCGGTCATGTGATTATAAGGGACGACGAAAAATATTCATTTCCCAAAGACTTGATTTTTACGGAGGCATGAAATAAGACACTTTCAAGGAATGTCTTGTGCCGGTGGACTCTTGGTCCAAGCATATGGAGCTAATCTTCATTCTTTGAATTAAATCTAGTTGGCATCTCTTTTATATGTGCTGTGTGACTCCCTTGGGGTTTAACCCTTAAACTGTCCAAACGTAGATCTACGTTTGGAGCGCTGCGCGCGTGGATGTAGATCTACCTTTGGCAGTTTAAGGGTTTAAAAAATTTTTTAAAAAAAAATTTGGGAGTTGAATGGGCCCAAAACTACCCATTCATCATGTCGCCTTCAGCTGTACTTTTTTTTTTTTTGTTCTGACATGTAATGTTTTAGGTGTAAAGGTAAGTTAGAGATGCTATTATGTTAAGCAGTTAGTTGGGATGTGTACGCAAAGTTTTCTTGCGTGCAAGTGTACTTGTAGATATGAGTGTGCGTGCATATTTCATGTGTTTGCGTGTGGTATGCATTGGAGCCTGGGTTACCTGTTGCCCTTGACAAGTGCTGCTAGATGTCTGCAGCCGCTGTAGTCTGTCGCCACCACCGCAGCTCCCTGTGCCACCGCCGCCACCCCACTACCACCGCGTCCCCACTACCACCACCACCCCACTACCACCACCCCACTACCACCACCACCACCACCCACTACCACCACCACCACCCACTACCACCACCACCCCACTACTACCACCACTACCACACCCCACTACCACCACCACCACACTACCACCACACCACCACCCCACTACCACCACCACCACCCACTACCACCACCACCCCACTACCACCACCACCCCCACTACCACCACCACCCACTACACACACCCACTACCACCACCCACCACCACCCCACTACACCACCACACCCCACTACCACCACACACCCCACTACCACCACCCCACTACCACCACCCCACTACCACCACCCACTACCACCGACACCCCACACTACCACTACCGCGTCCCCACTACCACTACCCACTACCACCACCTCACTACCACCACCACCACCACCACCATAAGCACCCTCAAGCCACCATCGTTTCACCACCAAAAACCACCGCCCTTCCACTACCCTACCCACCCCTCTCTGCCGTCCTCCAGGCAGGAGTGTGAGAGGCCTTACAACCACGGCTACCAACCGCATGCTACCTTATTTAATACTAAGATTCCAACACATATATACATACACGTGCTCCCACAAATTCTTCTCGTGGATACAACGAAATGACGCCCTTGCGAATTCACTGTCAGTACCAGGTAAAATAATTAAAAATAATAATGTTGAACAATGATATTAGAAGATCTGTCATTCAGAGAGCACAAAAATGTAGCAAAGGCCAGCTGGTTTGTGGCTCAGTTGGTAGTATCTTCGACTTGCAAAATGAGGAACCCGGGTTAAATCCTCTGGCACGGATGGAAACGTTAGGCATGTTTCCTTACACCTATTTTTCCTGTTCGCATATCAGTAAGTAGTAGGTACCTGGGTGTTGGCAGGCTCTTCACTCAACATAAACATTGCGGAGCGACGGCAGACGTTTTCAAGAGGAAACTGGACATCTGTTTCCTCCAAGGACCTGGATGTAGTAATGTCCGAAAAACCTCACCTTCAAGGACCACAACAGTGCCACTATCACATCTGCTAGGAAACTGATAGGATGGATAATGAGAATATTCAAGACAAGAGATGCTAAGCCAGTGATGATCCTTTTTAAATCACTTATTCTCTCTAGGCTGGAATATTGCTGTACATTAACATCCCCATTCAAGGCAGGTGAAATTGCAGAGCTAGAGAATGTACAGAGAACCTTTACTGCACGTATAAGTTCCATCAAACACCTTAACTACTGGGAGCGCCTGGAAGCACTTGACTTGTACTCACTAGAGCTCAGGCGAGAGATATATATCGTAATCTACATCTGGAAGATTCTGGAGGGACTAGTCCCTAATATGCACACAGCAATCACTCCATACGAAAGCAAAAGACTTGGCAGGCGATGCAACATACCCCCAGTGAAAAGTAGGGGCGTCACTGATACACTAAGAGAAAACACAATAAGTGCCCGGGGCCCAAGACTGTTCAACAGCCTCCCACCAGCAATAAGGGGCATTACGGGAAGACCCCTGGTTGTCTTCAAGAGGGAGCTGGACAGATACCTAAAGACGGTGCCGGATCAGCCGGGCTGTGGTTCATACGTTGGATTACGTGCGGCCAGCAGTAACAGCCTCGTTGATCAGGCCCTGATCCACCGGGAGGCCTGGTCGTGGATCGGGCCGCGGGGACGTTGATCCCCGGAATGCCCTCCGGGTAAGTACCTGATCAACCGGATTGTGATGACTATGTGGGCCGCTAGCACCAACAACATGGTAGATAAGGCAGTCACCAGGGAGGATGACCTTAGGCCAGGCTACAGGGGTAGAAGAGCCCTCGAAGCTGTTCACAGGTAAACACAGGGACCACCATCATATGTTGGCTCGCTATTTATTCACACAACATTGTTGCACACTGCAACAACTAACCAACCTTGTTGCACCTACAACTACCCTCCAGCAGGACACCACCTCAGTCACTGCCCTGTCGGCCAACTCCAGGTGAGCTACCAACCTCCATCAAATGCCCGGCAACTTCCGCCTGCAGCTGCATCCTTCTGACCAACCTCTTACGCTTAAATAAAAAAAAGGCAATTGCACGCAGTATACATCCTTCCAATTCAATGACGCACTGGTATAACAACAATATAGCAGTGTGCAATTGATGGGCAGGAGGCATATCCCACTCATAAAACCAACCTCTTTATAAATTACTCAATAACACACACGCATATTCAAAATGCACCAAAGTGGATAGGCCACTACCCTTATAACCCCAGCTACCCCTCCTCCTTCCCCAACCTTTCCTACATTCCATCCTTACCCATCCTTCTTCCTCCCTCCCATCTTACCAAAGCTCTGGTCAGAACCTGAAACCTGCAACACTGCGCTCACTGTAGCGCAGGCGAGAGAGATGCATCATAATCACCTGGAAAATCCTGGAGGGACTGGTCCCTAATCTGCACACAAAAAACACTCCCTACGAAAGGAAAAGACTTGGAAGACGATACAACATACCCCCAGTGAAAAGTAGGGGCGTCATTACTACACCAAGAGAAAACACAATAAGTGTCTGGGGCCCAAGACTGTTCAACAGCCTCCCACCAGCCATAAGGGGAATTACCAATAGACTCCTGGCTGCCTTCAAGAGGTAGCTGGACAGATACCTAAAGTCAGTGCCGGATCAGCCGGGCTGTGTTTCGTACATTGGACTACGTGCGGCTAGCAGTAACAGCCTCGTTGTTCAGGCCCTGATCTACCAGGAGGCCTGGTCATGGACCGGACCGCGGGGGCTTTGTATGAGTAGTATTAGTAGTAAACAAAACAAAATGTAGCCTTAGCAAAGTAAAAATTTCAGTACCCCCAAGACAGTCCTGGCATCTTTACTGTTTCTCATCCTCAGCAGACAAAAAACATGAGTCACAGCTTCGTATTATCCTTTGCGGATGATACTAAAATAAGCACGGAAGTCGCCTTTGTAGAATACACAAAATGGCACGCAGATATCAACAAAAATCTTTCGGTGAACAATAGAAAATAACATGGTCAGTGGTGACTTGATTCCAACTGCTCAGATATGAAAAAAAATGAACTCGAGAGGAGCACGAGATATAAATCACGGGAGAGCCATCTCATAGAACGAAAGGAACATGTAAAACATTCCAGTGCAATAATGTCGGAGGACTTGAGACAAATGCCGCGAAAGCCAAAAGTGACAAGGTGGATATTGAGAGGTTTTAAAACAAGAGTAAAAATGCCAATGGCGAGACTGTTCAAATCCTTTGTCCTTCTTTGTTTAGAATATTGTTCATTGGTGGTTATATCATTCAAGGCTAGTTAGCTATCACAGCAAGAAAGATAGACATGGTTACCTGCCACATAGGGCCAGTGAAGCATTTCAAGTATTGGAAACTCTTCAAAATACTTGGAGTAAAGAAAAATGAAATACCAGATATGTACATGCAAGATACGTGAGGGCTTGGGTCTTAATTTACACTATCATAAAAATATCCCTGGCTCAGTTGGTAGTTCGCATACAGAGGGTACGTGGTTCGATTCCCAGCACGGGTGGAAACGTTGTGCATGTTTCCTTACACCTGCTGCTCCTATTCACCTAGCAGTAAGTAGGTGCTATTCGACTGGTGTGGGTGGCATCCCAGAGGCTGGTAGTATATCTCAGATGGGGCTGAGCTTTGAAATCAGCTGAGGTAGGATAACAGCTCTTAGCCTGTGAAATTGATCTG